AGTAGCAGTAGCAGTAGCAGTAGCAGTAGCAGCAGCAGCAGCAGCAGCAGGAGGAGGAGGAGGAGGAGGAGGAGGAGGAGGCTGCTGCTGCTGCTGCTGCTGCTGCTGCTGCTGCTGCTGCTGCTGCTTTTGCGGGTGTTGTTGGTGTTGGTGTTGTCGTTGTTGTTGGTTGTTGTGGTTGTGGTTTTGGTGTCGTTGTCGTCGTTGTCGTTGTCGTCGTCGTGCTCAATGGAATACTGCAATGCGGCGAGATGGTGGAGTCGTCCAGCACGACTACCACCACACAATTGAATTTCACACAGCCGAAACCCGAACCCCGACCCAAGTCGTAAATTGTGCCTGAAACTCAAACTTTAAATGAAGGCTCTCCATGCCTGAGTGCCGTTCCTCGGCGGGCTCCAGCGACAAGCCGAGTTTCGCTGCGTCGGTGCAGGACACTGTCGGGACCTCGATTGCACCATGACATAAACAAGCTGCTGGGCTTGGAGAGCTCTTGTGCGCGAGGACCTCCTGCGCGACACACGAGCAGCTCTGGGGCAGGTACCTGGCGCATTGCAATATACATTGGAGCTTTCACGAAAGGGCTTGGGATATGGCTCTGGCCCTTGGGTTGCTTAAGACTGACTGTTCAATTGGAAGCCGAGGTCGGTGGCATTGAGGTTCCAAGGAAGTGGTTTGGGCTTCAGGTGCTGTGCTCCCAAAATCCTCAAATCAGACCGTTGCGGCGGCAGGAGCATGACATGAAACCTAGAAGCCAATGTGGTCGCCTTGAAATTCGGTGACTCCCGGGATGAGTTGTTACCCCACAGCATCATGCACAAAATGGAAGAGCAAAAACGGACGGGGCTTCAGTGACCTGCATGATGTCTAACTGAATCTAACGAACCGCCAGCGGCCTCCCATGAGAGTCGTAGAGTCACGTACCAGGAACTACAGTAGGTAGACATATAGATAGATAAGAAGATAGATAAATAGATAGGTAGATAGGTAGGTAGGTAGATACGGATAGATAGATGCCGACACACGAACAGCCGCACCGTTTAAGTGTGGCTGTCGATCTCCTGCTTTGGCCCCTGTCGGCCGTGAAGTCTGTGTTGTAGGGGCAGCATCCAGTGCTTCTGTGAGTTGGAGAAACGGAAGATCTGCCTGGGGCTCCTCATGCTCTCATCCCTATCTCAGGTTTGTGTTCAAAAGAAGGACTACGACCGGGCACAAGAGCGCCTCATCAAAATCTCCGGGGGAGTGCGAATGCTGAAAGTTTGGAGTTAGGAACTCTGCTTGGTGTCTTTGCGGGCTTTCGGGATGAGGCTGGGTCTCGGTACACGGAAGGAATAGGGGGGGAAGCCGCTGCTTCCGGCCGCCCACATCTCTGACAGGAGGGTCTTCTGGATTAGACCGACCCTTGTGAAAAAAGACCCTGAAGCCCAGCGACTTCGACACCTTTCATTGCAATCTCTGGCTGGTTGAACCCATTAAGAGTTCAGAGACGTCGCGCCCACCCGAGGCTGTATCTGCTTGCTTTCAGCCCGGAGCCTCGATCTGGGCCCTCCAGTCCGTGAGGCTTTCTTCCGGGCAGTCTCGCACCATCCCGCGATGTTGGAGATCGTAGCTTTAGTGCTTGAAAACCACCCCCGAACGAAACCACAGACACAGACGAGCTTGCCAAGCAAGTCTGCTTTGGCCGCTCCTGGTCACAGCAGTCCGGAGACGGACATCCTGCAGCAGAGCATTGGCGACATATGGGTGGTAGATCTCAGGCTTCTTTGGATATGTTGTTATACTCATCTGTGGGCAGTCGGTGTTGCGTGGACTGGAGCCACTCTGCTTTTCAGGATTCCTGCACTGATCGCTCGCAAACAGCAGCGTGGGTCATGCTAATACTCGTATGTCATGTCCAGTCGTAAATGCTGTTGCATTCGTCTCTGGATGGGTCTGGGGACCTGTAGTAGGGGGAGAGCGAATACCGCATCCCTGTAGGTAGTGGGCTCCAAGCCCATGCGCGTCGCCCGTGGGTGAAAAGAACCATGCACGGCATCAAAACCAAATGCGTATCTGGCACACCACGTGCAGCATCGTTTGCAGTGGTGCCGCTGACATGCTTGCATCAGCTTCATGGCTAGTCCGACTAATCTTAAAAAAAGGCCCGGAGGAGGAGCCCCACACGGAAAAGCCCTTGAACCGGTAGTCCAACACCCCGAAGCCCGACATCACTCTCACAAGTGATTCTCTCCGGAAACCTGCAAAATTTTGGGGCCGCAGTTCCTTCAAAAGTATAATCTGAATTGCTACATCGGTAGATCAGTAGCACCAAGTTTTATCAGTTGTTGTTTTCCGCTCGTCTCTTTTACATACGGTTAGTTGGGAAACCGCCTACTTGTAGCATCTTCTTGAATCCTGAACTCCCGAGGTCGACAGATGTAGAAGCTAGCCCCGATCGAAAACAACCCTGAACCAGCTCCAAACTCGGAGTCACAAGGCCCAAGCGGCCTGTAGCCTCCAAGGTGGCATGGGGTAGGCCTCCTTACAGGAGAGCTGCGAACCAACATCGCACACTTCGCCCGGGGCTCGTGTGGCTGGATTCTCCCAGAGCCGAGTTCTTTCCGGACGTGTGGGACTGGAGCGGTTTCTATCGAATCCTGCCGTGAGGGAAGGATTCCCTTAGTGTCTCTGTGGCTCTGTGATCGTCTAAACGACCCTGGGCTCAGGCGCGAGATGCCCTGTGGCTCCATCGCCTCTTCCAAGGCCTGAGGGGAGTGGGGTTCATGTACAGAGAGGGTCAGGGCTTTCCCAATCTTTCCAACCGAACTCAATTCAGAAAATGTGGGGAGCATTGCCGCTATTGCACCTCACGGTTCCATTTTAGGTTCCAACTTGTCCAACCGTTGTAGCGTGAAGTCAAGGCGACATTAAGGAAGCCCACTCGCATGACGGATCCTACGAGAACCGAGCGCTTACCCTGAAAGCCACGTCCTAATTACCGTCACCCACCGATTTGTCGACTCCGTTTGAGATGCTTGAAGCCGATTCGGGCCGCCCCGATCCCACAACAGGATCAGGGTTGTCATGCTCATCACTTTCGTTGACATCATCACCAAAGTCTGATTCGTCTACTAGTCTCATCGAATATGAGCAGCTCTCCATCAGAATTGAAAAATCCGTATTCAGCTAAACTCAGAACAAAAGCATGGCATGACTAAGCCCCGGGACTGCACCCAGCATTGCAAATCTTCGGCAAGCACGCCGAGACATACTGCGCTCCTTTCTGAAGCTCTCAAAGCTGGGCTGCTAGAGATCAGCCCTAAGCCCTGCACCATGATACTGTAAATCCTGTACAGCATGCCCAATATGTGTCAGAGCCCTTAAACAACACTCTCACAGTTGCCCTCAGGACAGCAAGAAAGCCAAGCCTAAGCCTGTCAGCTTCTTTTCATACCAGTAACAGTCCCAACCCCAAACCCATCCCTAAACCCCTAAACCCTAAACCTTAAACCCTAAACCCTAAACCCTATTCCCCAAACCCATCCAAGCCCCATCCCTGAAAGGCAGAGAGCCACTAGAGTCCCTGAGCAGCGGACGGACCGTGGAGCAGGCCGGGGGATGGCTGGGGGATGGCCTTAAAGAGCCCTAACAGGGTTTAAGGTTCCTATACAATAATAGGGAATCATAGTATAAGGGTATAAGGCCCCTACTGTTAAGGTTCTTTTCGTCCTTAAGGGGGGGCGAGCTTTGAAGTCTGGGGCTTCAGCAAGGTTCCTGGAGCAAGATTTCGGGTTTGGGCTGGTGTTGGGTCAGGGTGGCCGACCGATCAACGTCGGTGGCGGGACTTCTTTGGCTTGGCAGTGTGCTGGGCAGCTAGTTAAGCTCAGGTCCTGCTCTCAAAATCTGGCCCTTGAGGTGCTCACGAAGCACGCAGCCACGGAATGCATAGAGAATGACCGGTGCGTTTCTTGGCCGCTGTTTCTGAGGGAGATCACACTTCAAGCAGCACTGGTAACGATGATCAGACAAACGGCGTCACTACCATTGCCTTGTCTCTAGCAGTATCTGTGTTGCTGCACAAGGCCAGCGTTGCCCGGACGAGACTCTTTTGTGTCGTCGGGTTTGCAACGTCTTGCGATGTGGGCAGTTCAGGGAATTGAATGCTCTAATCCGTTCCCGACGGTCTGCCTGTGGGGTGGGGAGTTCTCTAAATTACGGTCCCTTTTTAGGTCCCCAATATAGTACGGCACCCTTATAAAAAGGACCCGAAAAGGGACCCTAGTTTAGAAAACTACCCAGGTGAAGACTGGGCGACAGGTTATCCTCTCCATGGAGCAGCTCTTCGTCTCGCAGTTTAGCATGAGCTCGGTCTGGGATGCTGATACATTTCCCTAAGCTACATTGACCCCACTGAAAAATGGATGCAGGTCCTGGACAAGTTGTCGATTGGCATGCCTTGTATATACATCCTGGGCTTGCGTAGCTTCGGTGATGGCTCTCGAAGTAAGAACTAGTTAACTAGTACTGAACTAGCCATGGAGCTCGAAGTTGTCATGCTGTCGCGGAAAGTTGCTTAACCTGAGTCCTCGCAAGCTGGAGTAACTTGAGACCACTTGTAGGCTTGTTCAGCCTTGGACTCACATACGGTCTTACCTCAGACGCAGGTTCCTGGAAGAGGCCGGGACGGCTTTCAACCATGTGCGACATGGCCCGACATGGCTTCAGTTCATTACCAAGCATTGCTCTTCATGAGCATCCGTCAACACTTCCTTCCAGCAAATAAGAGTAGGATGACCTTGGGAAGCGACAATCATATCATATCATATCATGTGCCTGGCCCACGAGAGCGTGCTCACATCAATCGCAACTCTCGCTGCTGCGAGGGGCCGGCAATCTGAAGGCTAAATGCGGTTTACCCATCGATACCAGTACCGTAAGCAATTCCCATCAAACCATTCATCGAACCATTGCCCATCTTGTTGGAATCAATGATATCCTCGCTGCTATGACAATTTCTCCTGCTATCGCTACTGTCACTACTGATCCTTTATCTATCATTAGCAAGTACTGACACTAATACTATACAGACGAAGCAATACAACTGTGCTTACCTTACCTACTGGATTGCTTACGTACTTACTTGCGCACTGACTGGTACCTGCTACTACCACGACGGACGACGACGACTACTACTAGTAGTCCTACTATTAGTACCAGAACTAGAATTTGACTTGGCAGCGATAGGACCCCCAAATCAGCCATGGCCAGGTAATGAACAGGAAGTTGCCCACAAGCCCTTGTTGTTCCAACACACCCGGTTTTAACAGCGTGGTGCATGTATGCTTTCACAGTTTCACACGAACAGTTTTCACATGCTGCTTGAGGGACGGAAATGGGTGGTTGTCAAAATTATGGTCCCTTTTGGGGTACCCTGAATAATAGGTGCCGTATACTAATAAGGACCCAAAAAGGGACCATAATTTTGACAACCACCCAAATAGGGAGTCGGCTCTTCTCTGGACTGAGTGCATGGATCCACATGACGGCCGTGTGTGAGTTCTCACCTCGTCAGGAGTTGCGAAAGTCCGAAGCATTAAAACGCCCTAGAGTAGACTGGCTTGTCCGAGTTGGATTGCAAAGCCGTACAGCATCCTAAACCGAGTGCTGTTAAGCAACTTAATTTAAGCGACCATAATGGAGAGACATAGCAAATAATAGGGCTTCCTTGTTATGGTAACTTAATACTTAAGTTCCAAACACCAGTAACACCTTAAAACGGGCAGGTGGCCTTTCAGGACTCCATCTCGCCTAAGCCACCCGTCTTCCATGCAGGGCATCCCGCCAGAGCCCTGGCCAAGGGCTCCTTGAAGACTTCCTGTCAGTGTTCCCTAAACCCTAAACCTCGCTTCTAGAGGAGCCTTACGAACATAATGGAGGGGCCTTTATAATTAGAATAGGGTTTTGGGGTCCATTATACTACAAATATAATAAGGACCCCCCCCCAAAAAAAAAAAAACTAGTATTTGTAACGATTTAGGCCCCTATATTGATCAGACTCCGGTTCGTTTTCGATATCCAGAATCTGAGCGTCGGAGGCCAGAAAAAATCCACGCCCGGATCTCCCCGGCTCAGGGCTCCAGGTTCTCGAAGTAGAAAGATCTCCGGAGCATGATTTAAAGCTCTCTACTATCCAACCTTTTTACCTTTCTGGGTTTGCAAGTTTATGTCTAGCCCTCTACGTGTGACTTTGCAAAACTCCCAGGCTTATTTTCAGGGAGCAGCACGCTTTTCCGCCTTTCCTGAGGTCCTCACCTGTCGGACAGCCCAGGCACCTGCAAAAGCATCTCAAAACGCAAATAAGGGCATCGAATCCCTGACGGGCCTTGTCGCGAGCTTCATGAGATGGTGGACGGTCCGATCCCTCAGCTCCCCGTTCCGTCCGAGAAGTTCGAAATTTCGGCAGATCTCCATCCGGATCTACTCAAAGGAGTTCCCTTTCATTCGTGCCTGAGTGGTACGGGTGGGCATTGGTGCCATCCGGATAGCTCTTGGAGGCCGAAGACGAGCACGCAGAAAGTCGAGCAGTATGACGTCTTTTTCAGCCATGACTGGCAGAGTGGGCGCTGGAGCAAGCATCTGTCACTGCTGGTGGCCTTCAACGGCGTGCCTGCGGCAACCGCGAGCTGGGCAGCAGGCTTAGCCATGGGCCTCTTTTCGTGTCTAGGCATTCTGCCCAAGTATCTTAACGTTTGGATGCCTCTTTGGGGCTACATGGTGTCACTGGCCATCTTCTTCTTCTGGCAGCATCTTCGGCGACTCGTCCTTGGGCCCACCTTTGCATTTCTTGACAGTAGTTGCATACCACAGGAGGACGAGGTGCTGAAGGCACGATGCATCCAAGGCTTGGGTACCTTCCTCGCAAGGTCCGAGCAGCTAGTCGTTTTGTGGTCACCACAATATTTGCGTCGATTGTGGTGTTGCTATGAATTGACATTCTTCTTGCTGAAGAAAGGAGACGGTAACAGGATTCAGTTCGTACCCGTCCAGATCGGGCGCATTTGTGCATGTTTGTTCATCGGTGTGTTACTCTTCCAAGTGACTCTGTACGTCGTAGTGTCCAGAGAGGGAGATGCGATGGTGGTGACAGGCATCATGTCAGCTGCGTTCGTGTTACAGGGCATTGTCATATTCCCAATTCTGCTATACACCATAACGGCGATGCTCGAGGACCTGTCGCAGCTGCCGAGACAAGTCAGTGAGTTTCGCGTTCAGGCCTCTGAATGCACCTGCTGCGCTCAACAGCATCGTCACCCTGTGACGCATGCACCTATTGCTTGTGACCGCGAGCTGATCTACAAATCTCTACGCAGTACGTTCGGACCTTCGGGCGGGAAGATGGAGGAGGAAGCGGCGCTCGATGCATTCAACGGCTATGTGAGTGAGACGCTCGCGGGTTCCTTCGACCTACATTTCCGGCATCACACATTGATTTTGAGCCACGCGCTCGTGACCTGTGCAAGCGCCTGTGGCCCGTGGGTATCCCTTACCATGACCACTGCTTGTGAGTTGTCGATATCAGGAGAAGACCTGCTTCGATGGTTTGGACTTCTCATATACGTCGACGCCGGGCTCCTTTGTCTGATGCGGATCGCGCTGCTGATAGGTCATTTCGGTGCATTTCGGATGGAGAAGTACCCCCGACCAGTTATCGTCTTGAGTCAGGTGGTGATGCTTTCCTTCACTTCGGCCGCGACATTCTTGCCCTGGCCAATGGCCTGGGCTTTGTCAGTTTCTGGATACTCTTGGATTTGGACCAGTGCTTTGGCTGCAATGCTGTTCATCAGCTGCTGTTTCCTTTGGCCGGCTTTCAGTGCCCCATCTGGCACACCAGTCTTGCAGCCCGACCTGCCCAGCACGACATACGGAAGGGAGACAGCGTCAAGTGGTGATGAAGACGAACGGTCAACCTTCGAGATCTAAAATCTAGAAGCTTCGAATCGGAACTGATACTGAGACCCTGGGAGGATCTGCAAGAGAGCTCCCTTAAGTGGTCTGCTATCCGTTAGTGCGTAGGATCCCAAACTCGGGGCCCTACTTTCTAGTTCTTCTTGGAGGCTGCAGCAATGCAGCTAATGATTTTGTCAATATGTCTGTAGCGTGGACGTACTTTAACGATTCCTGTTGAGCACTGTCTCAGTGACAGAAGAGCTCCCTGTCTCCAACCTGCGGCGAAGACCGTGCCCAGTTGGACAGTTTTTCTCTCCGAAGGAGACGCATCTTTTGCTGACTGCGACTGAGTCCCCTGAAAGTCGGTCCAGGCCAGTGTCCTTAGATCTATGCTCGGACTTGTGTCAGTCTTGGGTTATGGCTTGGGTTTGGAAGAGGTTGTCTTGACTTGTGATTAGCTGGTCTAAAGTCGGTACGCAGTGCAGTACGTAGGACCAGTCGTCGTGAAGCCTTGCTTGCCTTGTGCGAGCTTGAATTACAGGAAATGCCCCAAATCCCAACCGAATCCAGATAGACCTGTATCTAACTCGAGATCATTTAAAGGACCGGAACCACACGGACTGCTTCGCCGTAGCAGCGCAGCGCTGGCGGCCGTTTCCTGGAGATGCTACGCAGGCCTGGGCTTGGCGACCAGAAACTGGCAGGCTTGAGTTGAGATAATCAGTATAGCAACCACAGCAACCGAACAGAATGATGATGATGATGATGATGATGATGATGATGATGATGATGTGATGATGATGATGATAATGATGATGATGATCATGATGATCATGATCATGATCATGATGATGATGGTGATGGTGATGGTGATGACGGATCGGCATTCCCGCGCCGAAGGTGCCGGTCTTTATTAGCTTCTGACCGAGCGGACATAACGCGGACCTCGCGGCCGTGGCGTGCAGAAGAGAGAGAGAGAGAGAGAGAGACAGATGATGAACATGATGATGAGAATGGTTTAGGGAAGCAACATCAGTAAAGCAGTCAGAGCTTTGCCATTAGCTAGCCACCATAGCACCATAATTCTGCCGCAACAAGAACGCACTCGCCAGAGGCTCGAGTTTCAGGCTGTATGTCGTAGGGTTGTGGAATGGGGGTGCAGCTTTTCGGCAAGTCAGGGCTTCTGTGGGCTGTGGTTTTGGTTTTCTAATAAAACACAATCCGTGGAGGGATGAAGCTTTGCAAGGAACCGAGTAAACAGAGCGATGCACAGGACAACTCCACGGACAAACTTCTGTCACGTGACTCATAAGGATAGCACAAAGCAGTTGCAATGCTACGATACCAATGACAAGCAGTAGAGCAACTGCAGGCTTGTACATAACAGTCACGCCAGACCTGAAAAAACTAAGCGTTACGATCATGCGGTGTGCTTACTCAGCGCCATCATCTGGGCAGTTCCTCATATGCTGCTGTTGGAGTGGGTCTTCGGGGTACAACGTCTTTTGCCGCAGTATGCTTACAGATCATGACCTTTGCCTCAAATTTAATGTGATTACCGAAACTTGGTATCCAGATGTGACTGCTTTCTTCATTCCTTGGCCTTCTTGTTCTGACATGAGCTCCGGGTAAGAGGGGCAGACATAGCTGTAGAGCCCTGCTTCAAAGCAAGTTCATTGGAGGTTCGGCTGCGTGGGCTCGATGGCGTTTTTTGGTGTTTGTTCGTCATGGGGGGTGGGGTGCTCGAAATTTATCAGGGCATCGTGGACGAAGTCTTATTCAAAGAGACGCGCAGAACTGTAATTACACTACTGCAGGCCAGTGATGGTTCTTCACGGTTTAAAGATGACATTAGTGTTGCATCGTGGTTGTTGGTGACGAAAGGAAAACTTGCTGACACGAAGGAAGGAGGCGGAGACTAGGCTGAGAGGGGAATGCTGCATCAAAAGATGTTAGCCGATGGGGAAGCTACGAGTTTCGGGGTTGCTTGACTGGGAGCGGGAGCATAGTTGTTGCTATTTGGAGTGCGCTGGGGACGTGTTTTCGGCAGCTTGTTGCGGCCGGGGCCGAATTGAAATTGAGAGAAGGTTCCCAAGCTCTTGAATGATTAGCTGGCTGCTGCGTGATTTGCTGCATGACCTCGCAGCTGCAAAGTTTCTGCTTACACTAACGTCAAGTGTTAAAGATAAAGAACCCTAAAACCCCATCCCATACCCATGAAGCAGATCGACTGTCGGAGTGGTGTCGCCAGGTACAGAGCTACCGTGTCAAGGCTTTGCGAAAATGCAGGAGTTGCGATCGGAATCTGGGCCTCATCATGTGTATCTTATACACAACCAAACAAACATACATGCATACACACATACATACATCTACACACACACAGGTATATGTATATACAGAACATGTACAAACCTCCATGTGTGTATGTATGAGCGTATGGGGTCCGTTGAACATGGAGAAAGGCGGCAGTGCACTTAGCAGCCGTTTGTGACGATTCACAGCAGACGACCTCGCACAAACAACACCGAAACGTTCGTGTCGCGTCCACCAGCCAGAACTCGGTCCCAAGCGGAGAGACGTAAAGAGAGTCATTCGTTTCTTTGTTTATGTTCGTTGTCTATAGACAACGAACATAAACAAAGAAACGAATTATAAGCCCAGTCTAAGCCGAAAAGCTCAGCTGTCCACGCTTCTCCAGGCCCAAGAGCATCTACGGTTTGCATGCAGTCAGCTTTAATTCGACGTTCGCAGCCCCCCCATGTCTCGACACCCGGGAATCCCAAACATTCCCAGAAAGTACCGCAGCTCTGCCGCGAGGATTACAGATCGGGGTTTGCGGCCAAAGATCCTTTTCGTTCGGAGGCCTCGCTGGTCGGATTGACCGTTATTTTCAAATCACCGAAAGTATCGTGAGTAAGCATAGGAACGAAGCATTGATTGAATTCAGCGCGTTTGTTTTGGTGAAGCGGTTGACTCTAGCACCCAGGGTTTAGTCTTACCGGGCTCGACTTGCTCTTCACGACATTGGCAAAATTTGCAGATAACCTTCGAAGCGGTGCATTGCATCTACCCCTACTGAAATTTACAATCAGGGCAAACCATCCATCAGTGTCCATCTTCGGAATTTCTTGCAGGTCCGTCGAATGAGTTCATGCCCCAATCCCCGGCTTGTAAGGTTACGAATTTCATGGAAGCCGAAAACATCCTCCTCATTCTGCCTTCCCTGAGCTCCTGCTACAGGGTGCATGACTTAAGGCGTCCTGCAAAGGCAAAAGGCGTCCTGCGAGGGGCGTCACCTTGTTAAATACAATAATTTCACATGTATTGGGTCTTATCGTCTTAGTTACAATCGAGGCGACTAGTTGCGGAATAGGTTACGGTCAGCTGGCTGCATTGTGCTTGCTTGTGATACCAATTCAGTACTGGAAATGCCTCGTTTCGGCTTCTGGCTGGATTGTGCTCACTTGTAGTACAACTTTTGTGGGGAATTGCTCGGTTACCATGTCTGTGCTTTTGTCTAGTTGAGGCAGCCTTGCTGACGTGGCGTTTACATGGGGAAAGCCATGTTGATGTGACCATGATGTGACCCCCTCCCCTGCGTCCCTTAAACAGCTGTGTTCCAGCAAAACGTGATGTGACTTAGCTGTGCAGCTGCATGGAGGGTTTTGCAGTGAACAAAAAGTGGGTTGCTGTGAAGGGCGTCTACTTGGTAAATACAGACATGTTTGATGCCTCGGCAAAGACACTTTTGCAGCGATTCCCTGTACGCCGCGTGCATTTCCCTCTCTTGCGCATGTTTCAGAACATAATGTCGCAGACGCGTCACGCTGGGGATTCACTTTGCCTGGGGTGCCATTCGCAGATTGACGCGTCACACTGGGGTGGGCTGTCTTTTGCGGGGGTGGGGTGATTGAAGGCGTTCACCTTGTAGAAGATTTTCGAAGAGAGCCGGTGCAAGCTGAGAGGAATGCTGCAACCCGGCGCTGGAGGGACGAGAAAGCAGTTCTCGCCCACCTGAAGGCAGCCAACCCTGTGTGTTTGCAAATTTCACAGGTAGGATCAGCAGGGTGCTAGAAGGGGCAACAGGTTACCCCGCGACCAGAGCTTCTTGTCACAGCTGAACTGAACAACTCTTTCTCAGATAGATTCTGATTGATTTCGCATCTCAGTAGTTACTCAGTAGTTATGCATAGTCCGAAGCCAAGCCTGGACCCGGAGCCGTAATCACGCTGAGAGGGAAAAACTCAAATCATGCTGAATGTGTTTCAAGGCTATGATTCAGAGCTAGCAGGCCCAAGAACTGGAATCGTTCCTCGGGCATCCGTGCATTAGTGGCTTAAAACGCATCACAAACACAACTCTCTGCGAGCTGTTTTACTCAGGTCACCTGAATGATGAGAGTTCGTAGCAGATGTAGCAGCAAGTTCGAAGCAGATACGAGAGCGTCGCAGACATGGCCGGAGCAACTTGCGCGGGACCGCAGCCATTGAGCTAATATCCAGAAGCGTCTCTGACATTTTTCCGAATGCTACGAGAAGGATACTTATTGGAACTATGTATTGTCATGAACGTGAACGTGTCCGTTGAACTGCACATCGGCAAACAGCAAAGCCATGGCTCTCCGCTCATTCGTCGCCCTTCTTTTGGTATACTTGAGCCACTGCCACCCCGGTACCTGGGATGGAAAGGTGATCATGAGACCGGGCTGCAGATTTGTATGGTCAGGAGCCTTCGCTTAGGTGCCTGGGTTCCAACCGATGCTTCCATTTGCATGATGCTGTAGCTATCGCCTAATATCATCGACTTTGAGTGCCAAAAAAATCTGATCATGTACCCAAGACATCGCGACCCTACGGCTAAGGAATGAAAACGGAGCCGAGCTTCCAGACTTGAGCGGCATTTGGACCGGCGTGACTTTGCTGACATTTGCTGAGGCACGAGCCCTAAGCCAGCCAACCTATGCAGCCTCAGCAGCTTCACGCCCTTCGCCCAACTTCCAAGCTAAGACAACCTGCCCCCCCCCCCCTCCACCCCCAAATCACACAAGGCTCCAAAGCTCAAAAGCAACTGGGCTATATACAAGAGTTGCAATATGGATGGCGGCCTACGTCCATATGTAAAGGCTGTGGGGTAACCCTTGCTACGATATCAAGCTGCCTGGCATCACGGACCAGGAAGATGGAGATTTCCAACTCCGACTCTTCCAGCCGCCGACAGCACCCTGCGCGGCTCCGAACAGACGCTTGGACATCAGCTCAGCCCGTGTCCTTACCTGGTGGTGTGTACTCTTAGCTTTATTAGCTGCGGCCGCTGCTCCTGCGACGTTGTGTTACAACTGCTATGTACCATTTCCACTACCGCCACTGGTGTAGTAGCAGTGTAGTAGCAGAAGCAGAAGCAGAAGC